TCGGACCCAGGAATGAGCCACATGAAGATTCTGAGAAAACAGGATTTCGGCCACGAATGACGGTCGTTGTTTCTCCCTCCGTTGGAGTATATCTCATAATGCATCATCTCTTACATCCACTCGCATGCACATCATTTCATGCACGCCGAAAGTCACCCACATCATGTACAGTACGTCCCATCCGTCCAACTTTCAAGATACATGAACCTTGTTTCTTCACAGACCCATGCGTGCCGCTCGTACCGAAAGATGTAGCCGTCCTTCACTCTCTCTTTCTATCTCTCTGATGCCCACCGGACTACCTACAGTTTTTCATANCGGCCCTTTTTTCGTTTGTTTTTTCCTGTCCACCCAACTGTGTCTGCTTCCTTTCCAAGGCATTGCATTTCATCGATACTCGTCGTTTCCGCTATACACCCAAGATCCATTTTGACTAGATTGATTTGTTCATCTTTCCCTTCCGCTGCTTTCCATGCGGCTCGCCTTGTCTTCTCATCCTCCTGGCCCGCGTCCCATCCATTTGCATTGAATCACTTCTCGCAGAAACCACCCTCTGACGAAGATAGATTCAGAGGTGTTTCCAGGCACAATCATTCGTGTATGTTTAACACGTCTATTTTGGATATGCATTGAGCTTCCCGACTAGTGTCCGGCATTGTTTTCTTTCCTCTTCCGTCTATCCCTTCCCATAGGTGGCGAAGTCCAAAGGGGTTCCCGTCTTTTAGTTCTCTTTTTTCCTCAAGTCTGTTTCTTTGTGTGTATGTGGTGGCCACTTCAGCACATGGTCCGCTTATTCCTCTTCTTCTTTGTTTATACTTTGTAGAAAAATGGAGCTTACTTGCGCCGGGCGTTCTTTCATTTTTTTTTTCGTTGTTTTCATTTGTGAACATCCAGTGTATGTTAGATCCCAGTGCGCGCGCGCGAGCACGCGCTCGCTCGCTCGCTGTATTCGACTATTAAGCTTAAGCGCAACAGACAGTCTCGTTGCAATAGCAGCAGCAGCGGCAGCCAGCGAAACATCGACTGTTTTATTTCTTCGCGTGATATGTTACTCCGTACTTTTAAACGGAGCAGTAATTTTGTCACGCCGGAACAAACTAATGCCATCCAATGAAGCGCATTTCTTCTGTGTGTATTTTTCACAGTCTAGCGGTTCTTTGTTCTGCCAAACTAACCAACTGTCTGTCGACATGGAGATTTCGTCCCTTACCTGTCCTTTACTGGGCTGTCAACATCTACTCTTGTCTCTCTCTCATCGTTTGCTCGAACCAGTTCAGGCTGTGTTTCAATACAGTTCTCTATGTAACCTCTCTCTCTTTCGCTTGCATCCCGCAAATCGGTGCATTCCTTTGAAACTCAGCCGATCGACTATGAAATGCATTCTCGCAGGATAGAGGTGAGTCGCTTATCCTGCGGGTTCCTACTCCATTAGGGGAAAATGAACAGCATGACTTTGTCTGTTTTGAGCGTGGTAGAATACTTCGGATTCAAATGAACATTTTGGTACTGTTTCTTGGGTAGTTTCATGTTTCAAGAAGACATTCTTGTGTTATACCGTAGCACACCCGATTATCGTTCTTCCACTAGATCAATTAGTAAATACCAAAGAAGGCATAAGAGGTCATTCAGTTTATCGACGATTCTGTTTCAGTTTGAAGGAGATCCGAATCCATTCGCAAGCTTTTATGCATTCCTTATTTACGGCCACGAAAGATCCAGCAGAACGGGGAAGTTTTGACGGGGAACAACTCGGAGGACAGACCACACAGAGAATGAGTTTCGACCAATTAATAAATATTTCTGTCAGGATTGGATGACCATAAAATATTTATCTGATGAGGATTTTACTGAACACTCCCATCTGCGTTAGTTCATCGAAGCGTCAGGTAGTAGGATGAAAGCGGTAGCATGATATCGTTTTACATTAAAAAAAATCTATACAGGTAGGTCTGGACGATAGACCACTTTATATTTTGCCCGCAATAACTATTTTGGCTGTCATAAAACGAGCGGTGTCGTGTGGAGATGATTGTGCTGACTAGAATATTCGTGAAACAAGGGGTGAAGAACAAAGATGAGACGGAAAATAATAATCCAGTTTCCCGTCACCTGTTCCAATGGTATCGACAGTGTCGTTGTGTTCGTCCAGCAGTTTCATTTCTCTCAGGTAAACCTAAGGCTTTAGGTTTCAGGTTCAATGCTACATCTGCTTTGACTGGGCTTTAGCTGGTTTGTCCCTCTGAGATAGCATGAGTTCCGGTCCCCATGACGCACACAGTAGGTTATTGTCACTGGTGCTTCTCATTTCCATGGTTTACCATCTAATGTTGTTTCCGGGATTGAATATACGTACGTACGTTTATCGACTGCCAAGCGTTGTGATCCGCGGGCCTTGAATGCCATATGGTGATGTTGACTTGTGCCACCCTGTGCGTGGGATAAACTGCCCCGTTTTGTGAAAACCGCAACCCATTAGAGGCCGGTGGTCAGTTCATTGGATTATTCGCCCTTTTGGTTGGCGCCAAACGTCCAAGATGCCCAATACATCTCGAAATACAATTGAGCCGGTGAGCATTTCAACAACCAGGAAGGTATGAATGGGTATGGTTCGTACGCCTCTTCTTGGTTGGTTTGGAATCAGGGTTTTTACCAACCCCCCTAGGTGAACTATCTGGGGTTCACCAACCCGGTTGTAGCCCCGGATATTGGCTTTTCGTCCTCTCACTTTGGTGACCAAACACCTCCACCACGTGAATGCAGTGAGTAGGGCTTCCCCAACAGAGGCTATTTGAGGCGTTTGGTCGTATAGGAGCATTTCGTGAGATGCAACGGGAGGATGATCTGTCATAACCTAAGACATCCACCCCGACCATACGGAAGCTTTTGAAACATAACATCTGGTGACCATTGAACGATTACTATCTTATTGCCACGTTCGTTGAGCCGCTG